TATATATATATATATGCTTTTATTAGGATAGAATAGGTAGTAATTCCCTTGGTTTTTCTTTGAGCACCGATTCTTTTCCAAGGGATGTATTTTTATTTTTAGAGTAGTGTAAGATATAGAGACTCAGATTGAATTCGGCATCTTTAATGACTTGTTTGATACCAGTAGAGTAAGACTTGCGCATGTGGATTATAATTTTTCTTATAAGTTTTCTAGAACTACTTGTGCCTTGAAAAATAAAATAGCTTGTTTGTGATGCTTTGGCTCATTTTTTTGACTCTTGTGCTAACTGATGTGCCTTGTGCATTTGAATTGTGGCTTAACTCTGTACTTGCTTTGATTGAAAGTAGAATTGTAGCCATTTTAATTGAATCATGTGCTATTGTGTGGTGAGATTTTTTGTGCACTTCCATGTAATACACTTGTGTCTAGAACTTGCCCTGCATGTGAGTTGAACTGGGTTTTGTACGGTTTGAAATATGATTTTAGGCTTTCTCTGATCCTTTTTCAATTTTAATACTACAACCAAATAAAATTATCCCTAGTTAGCCATGTTGAGCCTATAAACGTTTTGTTTGGCACCCACATTACAAGCTCATACCCTTTTTTTTATTCTTAATTAATCGATATTATTTTGATCATTTTACCTCTTAAAGCACTTAACTTGTAAAATAAGAGCTAGAAGGAACAAGGAGGGAACTTGGATGATTTTCGAGTGGAACCAATGAAAGAAAAAAAGGTACACTTATTTTGTAAGAAATGCACCACTAGCAGGAATCGGAAAAAAAAAGAAAAAAAAATTGAGAAAAGAGAAAAAAAATAGCAAAAAAAAGAAGAAAAATACATCTTCTCCTTGCTCGTGAGTGTGAGTCAAAGTAGTGCTTAATGAAAAATAGAATATTTTTGGGGTTATGTTGTTTGTGATGTTTAAAGTTGGGTTGAAGAAAGTTGCACTTAAAGTGATTACTTGGCGTGGTAGAGTTCTTAGGAGGGTAAACCACTTTTTCCTATATATATCCTACCCGTCCCTTAGCTCATGTTATAAGGGCAAACGACACAAATAGCCACTAAAAGCAGTGGCTTTTATTTTAAAGCCACTGTTTTCAATGTATTTAGACTTTAGCCACTCCTTTAAAAAACTTATACCTGACTGGACGAAAATACCCTTCTGGTATAACTTATACCTACGCTATCAACACAAGCTACACAAAGAGAAGAAGCGAGCAACAACAGCAGTTACCACAGCGGCGATCAACTGAGGACGAACCACCATTTCTCTTCCCAATTTCAAAAATTCAGCATTCTAATCCAAAAAAACGACATAGCTAAACAGTAAGTTGTAATTTCATGTGTTTCTATCGACTTTTATTTCGCTATAGTTATACTTTTTTAGATCTGTATTGATTTGATTATATATTAGATAAGAATTTGATTTTTTTCGAATTTCTGGATTGATAAATTTATAGATGATAATTCTATATTCCGGACATAGTGTCTTCATTTTGGAAATTGAATTCAAAAAAATAAGAACATTATGTCCTTAACTTTGATTCTACTGGCCTCATTTTGCAAATTGAATAAAAAAA